GGCCTGAGATAGTCCTGAGTTGTCAGCCTAGTTGTGTATCTCCCCACGATGTAAATCTCATCTTCCATGTTTTGCTCAAGGAAATGTTCCACCTGTACATTTAACATATATAATGTATGCACCTTTAAGTTGCTTGTTGATTTAGAATGACCTCATGAATTTCATAGGGATTTCTTGGGCAAGGTGTCCTCAGAGGTGGTTTTGCTAGTTCTCTCCTTTGAAATAGAGCCTATAGCACCTGATATTTGTCCAAACTAACAGTGGTGTTGGGGTGACACAAGTTCAGTCTCATAAAGAGTAGTTAAAGAGACAAAGGTGAGAGACAGGTGTTGCACATAAGTGGAGATGAGGGAGGAAGCATCTGCTATTTCTTTTTCTCAGTCTCAAAGATACTGCAGGGTTCCTTTAGATCAGAGACTATTTGAGAGTAAAGGGATCTTTGAGACTAATTGAAAGATAGAAGCTGGTAGCATGAGCTTTAGTAGACTTGGATGCATGTTAAAGAATAAAGTTGTCAAATCTCTGCACTCAGAAACGGATAAAGTGTAAAGTGATCTTGAATATCGAATGCCACTGTTTAAAGAGTAAGGTCTAATCTGCGCTGCAGAAATAATGCCCTTTGATAATGCCCTTTAACTGCCATGGCTCAATGCTGTGAAATTCTGCAATTTGCAGTTTTGTGAAATATTTTGCCTTCTCTCTCAGGGAACTCTGGTGCAACAACAAACTCAAAATCTTGGGATTCCATAGCATGGAGCCATGGCAGTTAAAGCCATGTCAAACTGTAGCTAAAGCCATGTCAAACTGCATATTTTTGCATTTTAGACTTAAGAGAAGAATTGAGTAGAGGTGGAGGAAAATAAAATGTGCGTAGAAGTGGGGGACGACGACAACCTGTTTAATCATAGACTCAGAGTTGGAAAGCACTTCAAGGGCTCATCCAGTTCAGCTCATCTTTGCAGGAATTTTTTGCTAAAGCACCCCCAAGATTTGGCCATCCAGCCTCTGTTTAAGGAGAGTCCACAAAGAGAAGATTAATAATAATAATAATAATAATTTTTATTTATATTTCCTTCCTCTCCCTACGGATTCTATCTTTTGAAGGAGTCTATTTCATTGTCTAACAGCTCTCACTGTAACACCAGGAGAGTGGAGTATGGGTTATGAAGTAGCAAGGACTGGAGAATGGTTGTTTACCCTACTGGTGCCTGTACGTGACCAACTGAAACCTAGGCTGGTGTCTCCTTTCTTGTAATTTGAGAAGGAGAAATGGGTCGGTGGGCAAGTCAATAGAATACAATTTTAAATAGCACTGTCAATTAATGGTTAAAGGCATCCTCCTTCAAAGAGAAGGAAAACTCAATTACAATTGAAAAACTGAACTGAACTTTTTAGCCCTTTCCTACTTCCTCATCTGAAGGCTGAGCAGGAGTTTGACTCATTTCTCCTGACTTGATGTTGTCCAGGCTTGCCAGGCTGGGACCATGCCAAGCCCTGAAATGGAGAGCCAAAGTCTGAGACCAAGAGAAGGATGTCACAAGAGGTGGGCTTTGGCAGTGGTGTCACAAAGGGGTGCGGGAAGGGCGGACCACACCAGGTGATGCTGTCAGAGGGAGTGATTCCAGGCAGTAACAAGGCATCCCAAAAATCCTCACCTGGAATGAAACAGGGGACTTAGAATCATAGAATCATAGAGTTGGAAGAGACCACAAGGGCC